GATGAACTAATAAACTATACTGCACACGAAGTCAGTGAAGGCATGCACCGCGCCAACGAAGCTATTGTACTCAATGTACAAGAATAATTGCCTATCAAGAAAGTGCTTTCTACACTTTTAGATGCTTGCCAAATGCCACATGGTTGTTGCACAGCCACTCGTTTGTATAAGATCCCTGACCGACCCTGCCCAATCGTGATCGAGTTTTGCAATCACGACTTTGCTAAAAGGTTTATTGGCGTCCGATTTCTCCTAAGAATTCTGCCTAACCTCGAGCCAACGTTGTTAAAACCGGACAGAACACCGCTGCAGAGGTCTATTCTATCCAATTCAAAATTAACCAAAAGAACAAAACAAACACCAACTTTGGGAGCGCAAATACCTAATACTCACCCAACTTCAACTCCTACTGCTTGCTGTTCTATGGTTTATAATGTGGATGTGGATATAACACGAGAGTGACAAGTAGACCCCGCCGTACTTGAGCCGTCGGGGATCAAAGGACACATTAACCGCATCGAAACTGGGACTGTTCCAATGACAGCAACAACCAATACAGCCGTGGACATAACACACCGTCAACGTTCAATTAACCTGTCTGACATGTGTGACACGGAATCAGAAATTGCGAGCATTGACTCATTGTCGTCTTACTTTCCCCTTACCAGTGTCATAAAAGAAGCCGCGCAATCTTCCACTGTTCCGACTCAGAAGTCTAGCAACGCTCACCGAAGATGTTAGATTGCTAAGGCTCCTCGGATTTCATCAAAGCCACAACAGTACTGCAAAGGGGCAACACGCGTACGTTCCAACATGATCAAGACAATCCCCCGCGGTTACCGATTAAGCAAAACACCAAGTCGGCTGGTCCGGACATATCGAAATTCTCACCCCCTATTCTGAGCCGAAGCCTACTTATGCGACCACCAAACTGGAACAGCCAGGTCACCAGAAGTAGCTGCACAACACCCAAGCCCCTTACTTAGTATGTCATTTCCGTGCAGATGGGGGTTTCTTTGCTGGTCGAGCCACAGTGCCACACAGACAACGATCACCTAGATACCTTAACATTATGTGTGTCACAAACACCGCATCTTCTCAGGCTTCTGAACCCGGCGAATCTGTAATTTGACCATCACATGCAATCACTCCGCGAATCGCCCAACCATTCCTGGTCTCCTCTATTTGTGGAACGCTGCACGTTACGGTCCCCCGATCCAAGGACGCCTAACGCAAGATACGGCACTGTATCACCTAACCCGATTACTGGAAACTAGGCGCTCAGTTAGTGCAGCGTCAACGGGGACAGACGTATCCCGGGAATGTATTCAATGCACTACCGAAGGATGAGAGGGGACCTGCTTCTCACTAATCCTATTTTGACGGGTAAGATCGACCCGGACTTGTCAGGGCTGTTAAGTCCCGCTACGTTACCTAATCTCCGCGGTCACCCACTAAAACTGCATAAACCACGGTCTGGTAGGATAAGGACGGAAACTCGCTTGTCGCGCCGTTATAGATCCTACGGTTAAGGATGTTGCGCGCCAGTTCCATGCTCTTCGTTAGCAGCACCAATCATTGTCATTTTCTTAGCTGACTCACTTTCACGTATCAGTTTGTTTTAATGACTCAGATATCTTGATATTCTACTTGCTTAGCTCTTTTCATTTTCTCTTTTTGCCTTCTGAGTTTAATTTTTTCTCTTTCGTACTTCACGTAATCGGACCAGCAGGAAACCTGGGCATTAATTGGTCGGACAGGGTGTGATGCGGTCTTTGTTTTAGGTCGATCAGTAATTAAAAGTCGGCCAACTCCTGGTTCAACGAGCAGCTGAAGGAGTCACATTCACGGAATAATCCTATCCTTCCCGTCCCGCTTGAACTTAAAGTTGAACATGACTTCCCGCCGCTTGAATCAAGCTTCGAATGTGCACCCAGCATCCGTGTCATAATTGAATCCAGTGATTGCATTCGTGAGAAGAGCAACATTACTTGCCTGCATGTCCTGCGTAGCTGCCTCTATTGACTGTAAACTCAAGCATTTTGTGAGATTTTCGCTCATTTTCGTTTTTACCTCCATAGGAGATTGCTGTCGGAAAAGCATCCTTTGAAAGTGTTCAGCGGAAAATTGCACCCCATTCTCCATTTTCTCCATCGCCATTCCTTATAGTCTTCTTACTATACGCGATTCCGAAATTGGCACTTTACTGCTCTACCGAACTTTTGGCCCAAGGGATGGAATAAGCAGAACGCAGAACAGCGCAGGGCCTTACGGAGATTTGCCTTCAAACTCAAAGGTACCAACGTTAGTGTGCAACCAGACCTTCCGTTAGCGGATAGGTTAAAGTTAAAGGAAGCCATCAGAGACCTAAAAGCCCGGCGTGCAGCTGGCGAGCAAGGTCTCCGATTGGTGGGTTTTCAGGTGGTCAGTCGGCGGTCCTTTCCGCCCTGCCAGAACCTATACTAATTGCGCACGACCCAGGGCTGGTCGGGCCGAAACACTCCAAGTAGTACTTAGTAACGTGCGTAGCCTGAGGAACAAAATGTGCGAGGTGGGTCTGCTCGTAGACAAATCTCGTCCAGATATACTTGCTTTCACTGAAACGTGGTTGTTTGAGGAAATCACAAATGGCGAAGTATATCTGCCTGGCTACGCACTGTTCCGCGCTGATCGCTCCACTGGCCGTCAAGAGGGTGGTGTAGCTATTTATGTGAGTTATCACATCGACGTATTGAGGACCAGCGTTTTTCAGTCTCTCGACAAATCTGTTGAGGCTCTCGCAGTCATGATTTGCGCTTCCTCGGTTCAGGTTACGGTTGTGTTTGTGTATAGAAGCCCTATGAGCACCTCCAATGGAATCATTGGCTTAAACGCACTCACTCTGCGAACAAGCGTCTGGTGGCTGGCTAGCCGAACAACCTCCTCGTGGTGCCAGCTGGGTGGTTCGGGTTTAACCCATTCCAGCAAATAGTTCAGCGGCAGTGTTCCAGGACGTGGTGGGTTTTCGCCCGGCAAGCGTTCTCCCTATAAAAAGCCACAAATGTCTGCTTATCAACACTGTGACGTGGCGGATGTGACTCGCCACAAACTAAAGTCACTGGGCCGTGGACATTCGGAAAATGGTATCCAACTCACGGACATCGATCGCTTATTCTCACATTCCTACCGATAACAAACAGTCAAGAATTCTGCGGCACCTTCAAAAATACAAGCTACATTCATAGACAATTACATACATTTGTACACCCATACACTTACATTCACTGTTATGCCAAACATGTACTCTGTACATTTTCTTCACACTATGTTAACTAAACATGATCATGCCTGTACTGGTGTGCCTCGCATGGTCAGGAATAATAGTTTATTTATTTATTTATTTATTTAACCTCCCAGATGTTTGTTGGGATGATCTATCTTGCAGTTCGACGCTGGAATCGTTCGGTACAGAACTGCTAGACTTGACGCTGCAGGTACCACTACACCAGTTCGTGGACCTCCCCACTGGGTACATAAGCAATCAGCAGCCGTCCATTTTAGATGTTGTTTTTGCTAAGTCACTTGACTTTGTAAATGATATTAAATATGACTCGCCACTTGGCGCTAGCCATCACGTTTGCTTGTCTTTCCAGTGTGCTCTTATCAGGTCTTGCCAAGCTAGTACCAGTTGTTATCCGAACATTTGGGCCGCGGACTTCCAAGCGATGCGGAATAGAGATAGGTCATCGCCTTGTGTGATATCTGAGACCAACCCTGTTCACATAGCCTGAGAGAAGCTTAAGGCTCACCTCGTCGACATTTTGCACCTCACGTCCCACTGGTAAAAAGAAGGGAATCGAGAGCGCAGCCTCTGTGGATAGATTCCGCGGGGAAGGGGCTGCTAAAGAAGCGGTCTAGATGCTGACGAGCTTACCGAACAGCTCCGTCAAACAGCACGTTTGACAAGTATCGGTGGGTTCGAAATGAGTGCAAGCTACAGCTTAGGTTGGCTTGGCTTCAGTATGAAAAGGGCTTAGCCAATACTGCTTCGAAAAATCCCAAGAGATTCTTTGCTTACGTTAAACGACGCTGTGGTGCAAACTCGCCCATTCCACCATTGCTTCGAGTACATGGGACCCATGCCTATAGCGACTATGACAGGGCATGCGTGCTTGGTAAGCAGTACTCAAGCGTCTTTGTCCGCGAAACAAAAACGCCATGCGAAGAATTAGCTTCAAGAATCTCTGAGGACTGTTGTCTGCATGAAACTCCTGTAACGGAGTCCCAAGTTCTCCGGTTGCTAAAAGAAGTGAACCCAACTAAGGCTTCAGGGCCAGGTTCTGTTCATCCAAAATTGTTGCACGATTTAGCAGGGGAACTCAGTGGACCTTTGACTTGTGTGTTTCAGAAGTCACTCAACAGCTGTATCTTGCCTACCGAATGGAAGGACGCTGTTGTCTGCCCGATTTTCAAATGCGGTGACAAAGACCTACCGGCTAATTACAGGCCTGTCAGCTTGACTAGCGTGGTCGTTAAGTTACTTGAAAAATTAGTACGCGATACAGTAGAGAACCATTTAAAAAGGTTTAACCTGTTTTACGTCGAGCAAAATGGTTTTCGCAAAGGATTTTCGTGTCAGACGAACTTGCCGGTAGCTCGTGAGAGCTGGGCTGAAGCCGTAGACAGTGGACATGCGGTGGATGTGGTGTTCATTGACTTCGCCAAGGCCTTTGACACTGTCCCCATTCGCGACTCTCACTGAAGTTGAGGTCGTATGGAATAGCTGGTCGTGCTCTCCAGTGGGTGTCAGCTTTTCTGGATGGACGGGAACAATGTATTCGTGTGGGAAGCAGTCTTTCGTTTCGACAGGCTGTGCTTAGCGGCTTTCCGCATGGCTCCGTCCTAGGTCCGCTGCTATTCTCAGTCTACGTGAATGATTGCCGGAGGAGCTTGAGGTACAATCGCTTTTATTTGCAGATGACCTAAAGCTCTGGAATATTGTTGATATCCCTGGAGGTCCTATGGCTCTTCAACGGGCTCTGGATAAACTCTGGGAATGGTCTGTCTTGTGGTTGCTGCCTATAAACCGGGCAAAGTGTTCAGTGCTGCGTATCGGAGCGTCTGATTCCTCCACAAGTTATGCGCTCGATGGGACTGTACTTCCTCACGTGACTCATCAGGTTGATCTAGGTGTCGTCCACTGTTCCACATTACACTCTGGAGACAACTGAAAGAAGGCGGCTAGTAAAGGGTTCCGGATGTTGTGGTTTATCCGTCGTTATTTTGGGACCCTAACCGCTGATGTGTTTGTGAAGCTCTTCTCAGCGTTTGTGCGCCCCCACCTAGAATATTGCGTCCAGGCCTGTCCACCATGCCTTGTCCGGGACAAAATGGCACTAGAAAGGGTGTTGCGTGTCGGTACTAGGTTGGTCAACGGATTACGAGGGCAAACGTACCCCGAACGCCTACTTAGTTTGGGAATGCAGTCAATGCACTATCAAAGAATTAGAGGGGACCTAATCATAACCTACCGTATTTTGACTGGGAAGGTTGGCCCTGATTTGTCCATGCTATTTAGTCCTGCTAGATTATCTGGTCTCCGCGGGCATTGTATGAAGCTGGACAAACCGCGGTCCGATCGAGTTAGAGTCGAGACACGCTTATCGCGTCGAGTCATCGAGCGCTGGAACCTGCTTCCTGAAAATGTTGTCAAGGAAGCTACGGTTAAGGGGTTTGAGCGTCAACTAGATGCTCTTGGGTGGCAACACGAAACCTTTCCGTTTTCTTGACAAACTCCCATCTTCATACTTCGATTCTATTTTTTTACTTTTCCTCGTCATCGGTATTATTCTCTTCTTTTAACTGATTTCCCTTACTCTCTTACCTTCGGTTCTCCTTCCTCTCTTACTTACTTCAAGTAACCGACACAGCTGGGACAGCTAATGTAAGGAACGTGGGCATTAAATTGGTGGACCAGGGCGTTTTTCGGGTGTTTTCCTTTTAGACCCATCAAGAAGTCGGAGTACCCCTATCAACTCCTGGATCGACGACCCGCTTAAGAAGGAACACTTACGGGATTCATCCTATCGTTCCAGTCCCACTTGAACTTGAACTTGAACCTTGACAAACTAACGCATTAATCGCTGTATAACTACAAGGTCTACAAAAGACGTTTTGCCAGAGGTCCTCCATAGATTGATCGAGAACTGAGGTGTCTAATGAACAAAAGACGGAAACTGTGGGTCCGATTCAAGCTCACGCAATCCGGGTCTGACTATTCGGAATATAAAATGGCCAGGAATATCTGCAACTTGAAAAAACGAGAGGAACGGCAGAAGTGTGGACTCGGTTTAGCTTTGCAATCCAAGACAAATCCCAAGGCACTTCTCTTACCTGAAGAGAAGTACCAAAGTAGGCAGTGGTATTCCTGCTCTTTATTCCTTGGCTCATGTGGGTTTACTTGACGATGATGCTGCGAAAGCCAGTCTCCCGGCCAAGCAATATTCGTCTGTTTACTCGATGGAGACGCCATTTCCCAGTGAAGCGAAACCATGTGCGCAACAACAATTGGGGCAACTGAGTGGCCAATTATTGTGCGATCAATTTAAAGTGAACTTGTGGCAAATTGGATTCTGTTCCAAGGAGAAAAGGCAAACTACACCTCCGCGAAGTATTCACAATAAAATACAAGGAGCTCAATATCGCCCGCAGGAACCAGAAAAATGTCAAGGTTGGCGCCTGCGACCCAGTAGCTGTATACTAAACAGTGCCAATGCATTTGCAATTGCTAACGATGAACATATATTTTTCCAACTTCCATGCAAGAGCATCGGATAAATGTAAGCATTAAGCTGAACCCTTTAGGGTGCAGCCTCTAGCAGGTCTAGAAATATACCTATTTATTTGTTTATTTATTTAATACTCCCTTCTTCGTTTGAGCATGTTGAAATGAGCGCTGATGTCGTTGCCAAAGGCATTCGTGCATTAGGTCCGAACTCCTCGCCGGGTCCTGATGGGTTGCATTCGCTGTTCCTCAGGACTGTGGCCGATTACGTTGTCGCTCCTGTTTGCCGGGTATTTCGACATTCCCTTGAAGTTGGACGGCTCCCGATCGCTTGGAAAGTGGGGATTGTTAAACCCGTACACAAAGGAGGGGATGGTCAAAACCCTGCCACTTATCGACCCATCTGTTTAACGTCAATATTGTGCAAGGTAATGGATAGGATTCTCAAGCGGGCACTTCTTCCCCACCTCGAGAACCTAAACGTCATTTCTTGTGCGCAGCATGGTTTTCGGCGGGCGCGCTCCTGTTCTTCGAATCTGCTGGTTTCCCGTGAAAGATGGGCGACATCATTAGACGCTGGGAAACGTCTGGATGTTATTTTTGTCGACTTTAGTACGGCCTTTGACATGGTTCCTCTTAAAAGGCTCCTCTATAAACTACGAGAAATCGGTGTTTCTGGGACCGTTCTCTCTTGGATCGCTGAGTTGTTGGATGACCAGACAATGCGAGTCGATGTGAACGAGACTTACTCCGCTCCTGTGCTCATGACTAGCGGTGTCCCTCAGTGATCGGTACTGGGCCCAGAATTTTTCAAGATCTTCATCAATGACCGCCCGGGGGAACTTCAGTCGGACTGCTAGATTTACGCTGATGACTTGAAACTGTGGATGGAGATATCCTGTCTTGACGAGGCGGACGGATTACAGGCTACACTTGATACGTTACATGAGTGGTCAGTCAAATGGCGATTGCCCATAAATCGCGATAAGTGCTAGGTCCTCCCTATTGGTGCTTCTGAGCTTTTCGGGACGTACCACCTGGGTGGGGCATTGCTCAAAACCTCAATCCGTGAGAAGACCTCGGCGTGTTGATGTCATCTGATCTACGGACCATGAAGGGTTGCTGCTGCCAACAGGATGTCCCATGCCCTACGAAGAGCCTTCCCGCATTTGACTCCGGATACCTTCCGACTATTGTTTACTTCCCATGTCCGCCCCATTCTCGAATACGGATTACCTGCCGTCTTCCCTCTCACCAAGTTCGAATGTGGCCTAATTGAGAAGGTGCAACGGCGTGCATCGAAATACATCTTGGAGTTACGGGACTTGCCTTATCACCGGAGACTTCAGCGGATGAATCTGTTCACCCTGGATTTTCCCCGACGTCGCGGTGACGTGATTTTCCCTAGGCGCATCCTGAGAGTTGGGGAAGGAGCAGCAGGCGTGCTTTCCATCCAATCCAAACAGTTCAACTCGAGGTCACAACTGGAAACTGTTTAAACCCAGAAGGCTCCGGAATCATCCTGCTCTCGCTCTATCAACTCGCGTAGTCAACGACTGGAATAACTTGCCGAAGCATGTGCTCGATGCTCAGACTGAGGAATGTTTCAAGCGAATGTTAGACTCTTATCTTTTGAGTACGATGGGCCCTTGCAGCCTCCAGTGCAGCTGTCAAGGTCCCTTGTGGATTACCGCATAACATCGAATCGCGGCCTCTACACAATGCCCGGGAGGCGTTGGAGCTGACAATGGATTTCTCCTTCTGCTCTCTACAATCCTATGAACATATGAACCACGGGGGACCTTGGCTGTATTCATAAACCTCTTACTGACCTTCAGCTTCAAGAATTGGAAGGTCAGCCATCAAGGTTAGTGCTTCCCCATATGTGTTGCCGATTGTAACGTGTTTTGTAGTCACATGTAGCAACTAAAACTTTCCGGAACGTTCGAAATCCTTGCGATAATCCTTAATAATCGATTAACCGCTAAAATAATGGATTTCTTAGGCAAACCTAACTTTCTCCCTGACAGTTTCATGTGTGAACCGGGGAGTATGGGATGAAAGCGAACATTTAACGTCCACGAGGTTGCAAACATCTGACTTTCACGAACTTACCTCCATTTTGTGTTTTTGGCAACTTTAAAGACTACACAGGTGGGAGCCCGCCAAGGTCCGATCGCACTAGATCTCCCCCAGCAGCTGCGTCAGGTCTCACCACTTGGTCCGCAGAAGGCTGGCTGGCGACGGACGGTCCTCACGTAGATCGAAGGGCCACCCACCGTTTTCCTTCTAGGAGAAGGGCTGTGTAATGAGCTGGAGATTCCCCCGATGGATGTGTAAATAATATGAAATCATAGTATTATAATGTATTGGGGATGTAAGTGGTTTGCAGATTTATATGGTGCACTTGTTTGTATGTGACATACCGACAGCATCTGGACTTTGTCCGCACACCGAAACGAGTGTCGGTTCTCCGATCGCACTCGACACCTTATACTCCCTAGCTAGTCATCTTCCCGTGACTTATTTTTAATCTTAAGATTTAGCAATCTTCTAACAAACACTTTTCTAGCCTATTTCAGTGTGTTTTGCCGCACGCCTTTGGTTTGCCATTAAATCTGAGTATCGGATGAAGCGTCAGACCAACGCGTTATACCCCTGAGTTCTTCGTTTGATGTGTCTAGTGCAGCTTGCGGACACTGTAACCGTTCAGAGCCAGTAACAGATCTATAAATAAATACACAGTTTATGCTCGTCATTGCGAGGCACACCATCAAGGGCGTGATCATGGTAATACAGACATGTATGAGCGGCAATTGCACAACTTTGTAAATTTTGACAAATAGCATAGGAATTTGTGTGTTTTGATATGTAGAAGTAAGTTTATATTTGTATTTGGAAGTGGCCATGTTGTGTGAGTAGGTAAAGGTGACTGCTTTTTCTTCGGGTTCGCCATCAAATGGGGTAGTCAATGGGACGCTTCGAATCGGATGACGTACATGATGTGTGAATGATCCTCCATTAAAGGGAAGAGGCTGTGACTTTATTTAGTGGCGAGTCACATCCGCCACGTCACAGTGTTGTTAAACGGATATCTGTGGTTTTTATAGGGAAAACGCTTGCCAGGCGAAATCCCACCACGTTCTGGAACACTGCCGCCGAACCAATTGATGGAACGGGATTTACCCGAACCACCCAGCTGGCACCACGGGGTTGTTCGGCTAGCTAGCCGGTATGCAGTGTGACATCTGCTGTCGCTAGTATCACGAAAACTGCACCGGCCTACAAGCAGACCAGTACCAAATGCTATCATCCAGCGTTCACTTCCTTTTCAGCTGTGCTGAATGCTGCGGTCAGAGATCGACGCGCCCAGCTATCACTGGTGCTAAACTCTCAGTGCTGGCTTCA